CATTCCACAATTCCCATCAGAACAAAGCTCACCAAAAATAGGTGTTACATTTTTTTGCATTTAAATCACATTGTTATTCCTGCAGGGCAATGTTTATGAATATGTTTAGAGTTTTTATACATTCATTATTATATATGTTTGCCGCTTTCCATCCTTTTTCTGATTGATTTTCATGCTGCCGTGTCATTCAGGATGATGGGGACAAACTCAAAGACCGACTTTTCAACTACATTTTATTTAAAAATAACAGAAATTAGGAAATGGGAAAAAACTTCCATGAATTTAAATTTGAATTTAAAGAAGTGGGTACTGTCAAGCAGCACATCATTCTAACCAAATTATTGCCAACAGTTCAGACATGCTAGTACGGAGATTTACTCTTTACATGCTGTCAGAGAAAACAACTTTATCTTCAATGATTCTTCTTTCTTCCCCACTGAGTTACACCACATTCCAGAATTTCTTTCTAAATTGATTTGTGAAAGGGAAGTAACGGTTTATTCTCTCCATGATAAAATATGAAAACGTAGTGTTTACACAGAGGTAATTCTGTTTATTTCTTTATTAAACACTATATCTATTCCTTTGTGTTCACTGTGTGATTTAATCCTGAGAATCCTGCATCTCTGTGCCCAACTGAAGAAAGCAGGGGTCTCCAAGTAAACATTAACAAATAATTTAAAATGGTGTAACCCACAAACATTGTACATTAAATGTTGCGCTCATAATGATCCACTTAATTACGATTTGGCATCTAGTACAGAAACCCACAAAATCCAAAATAATGGTGTTCCTACTCTCTAATTAGCTATAGGCGATTTCCCTTTCTGTTATCCATTTGGAGAAATAAAGGGATTCACATTCTGGATGATCTTTTCTTTTGTTCTAGAACTTGAAAGGACTCGATATGAGCTTTATTCCTCCATTCTGCAATGCATGGCTATGGCACCCCTAGGGGACTAGGCTGTCTACACACCCTGTGAGTAATGTACTGTATATTAAGGGCAGGCTTATTCTGGTTATGTTTTTTTTTTGCTAGAGGCTTCGTATAAACCTTTAGCAGCTGTGAGTATTTGGAAGAGATTTAAAATTGGATATGAAAAAAACACCAAGAACTATAAAAAGTCAGCTTCCAAAACTCAGTCATTAAATGATTCACTTTTCTTCTCAGACTGTTTGACCCCTGATAGAAGCTACTATGCAGAATATGTCCCAAAGCCCTTATGTACATACTGTCCATGGGGTGATGTGGGCACCCTGTTTTGGCACCAGATTTGACTAAGTTTTGGAAAGTTACCTTCATAAACTACCCTAAACAAGGATTTTCTTTGCTTTCACTAAGTAATCTTACTAAATAATTTGGTTCTGGCCTCTCTGAGCTGCCAAAATGCATCTGGTTGGCTAGACTCATTGCACTTAAGATTCTGCCACTGCATTAGGAACATATGTATCTACTCTCCAAACACTGCAGGACTCTGTCCTCTCTCAACATTAATCATATGAAACTCTCTACTGCTCAGATTGTGTCTCTATTATTTCAAAATAATAGATAATTAAAATATTATTTGGTAGAATCCCATGGATGCGGGGTGTATGGTTTTGTGCTCGATTTATGTTTTTGGAAAAATTTAAATGATTAAATTCTGGCTCATGAGAAAAAAAACAAGCAGACAGTGTCTTGGAGGATAAGATTAAGGAGGGTGGGATTCAATACCAGCATTGATAAAATAGATGAATGTGGGAATAAACAAATGGAATTCCCAGACCAAAGATGGCCCAGGATGCACATGCCACACTGCTACAAGTATGAAGATCCAAGATTGAAACAGAATACAAAGATTCAACTTTTACATATGTCATGCAGCAGTGTAGATCAGAGACTTGGAGAACAACAAAAGCAGTGACGTTCAGGCAGCAACTTTTTTGGTTAAGTGCCTCAAGCAGATCATGAAGATTAGATGGTTTGATAAGGTGTCAAATGATGAATTACAGGAAAGAGCACAGTAAGATCAAAAGAAGAAAATGGCGATGGGTGAAGCACACATTGAGAAGACCCCAGGGTAGCAAACATAAAGATGCTCTCGACTAGAACCCACAGGGGGAAATTAAGTGTGGCAGGTCACCAATGACATGAAGGACAGAGTTGAAGAAACACGGCTAAGCTACATTGATGGGCTGAGAGGAGGCAAAACCAATAGAACAACACTGACGGGAGTCTTGTTGTTGAAGACCTATCCGACGACAGAAGAAAAAGGTTAATAAGTCATTCTCTTTGGGGAGAGAAAAAATAAGTTTAAAGTACAATTTAAAAATATGGGTAAAATAAAATTGATCATAGTATGTTCATAAAAAAAAGATTAAGAAATGACTGTCACTTGGATGAGAGTTTTTCCATAAGGCCAAAAGTTATGTACGGTTTTAATAGTTAGCAAAAAGTTTTGTTGAGTAGTATTGTTCTTTGTAAGAAGAAAATACTTATTAACAATTCAACTGTTCAGTATTTTGTACATTAGATGAGTTAAAACTACCATGAGTTTACTAAGAATCTCTAAAAATGTGAATTGCATTCACAAGTACAACTGACAGACAGAACTGAAGTTTTCTGTACGTTTGTCTACGAACAAACCTATGGTGACAGCAGAAAAAGGGGTATTTTGTTCACCAGTGAATCTGGATTTATCCTTCAAAGAACAAATGCGTACAGCCTTTCTGGGTAATCTTATACAGATGGTCACATTGTTTATGCCTACCGTGGAAAGGAACCTCTTTCACAACAAAAATGCCTTTGGTGGAGGTTGAGGACAACCTTTCTCAACAGCATATACCTTGAAGACCTCATTAAGATAGTACTTTTTATTCCTGTAAATCAATCTGTAAGTATCAATATAGAAGCCACAGAAAACACCACCACACAAAGCAAGGATTACAATGACAAAAATTCAAGAATGCCAAGGAAAGGGTTTACCATTACCAGTTTTTTTGGCAGAATATTCAACAAAATCCTATCCAGTGGCTGATACAGTGGCTGTGTGTTATCGCTGTCAATGCTTTTAATCTCCTTGGATTAGCATACCCAATACCAATTTTGAAAAAAAAATCATTTTGACTGTCATGTTTTATACTGAAAATGCACCATGATTCTTGTATTGTGTGCATCTGAAAAGCATTGTATAATAGTTTCAGACTCTTAGATACTTTCTTAAATATAGATTCATTATAAAGAATAAAATAATATTTTTTTATATAAGATCTAGCCAGCAATTTGATGTACTATAAATGACATGTAGTTCTTAAAGCTCTCAAGTATGTTAAATGTTAAACTGTTGCTATTGAAGTTGCTTTGTAGATCACCAGATGCAAGGTACAAGCACTTCCCGCATCAGATATGGGAACACACTATATAGCTACCCTGAGCTCTGAAAAATGTTTGATGAAATAATATGCTCTTGTGGGATTTGCAAAACTATTAAGACCCTCCCTATAATGTCCTATTCTGTGAAATTCCAAAATGATGCATACACATTTTTTAAATTAATATTTTATTAAAAACTTGAAAGTTCAAAATAAAAACGTTTTTAACAATAAGATAAGTTTGAGTAAATGTCAGCAAAAAGTAAAAAGAAAAAATGGAAATATACTGACTGCATAAATATTCAATACTGAGCCCATTAACTCAGTATTTCATGGAAGCAACTTTGGTAGCAATTACAGTCTCAAGCCTTTTCAGATCTTGGACTCCGTACCAGGATGTCAAACTTCTAACAATTTTACACCCTAACCTTGTACACTTTTTGCAAAATTTTTTGGGGCATATTTGCTCTCTCAAGTTGCTTAGGGATCACTTTCTTAGTGTTAAACCACTTCATTATAGCTTTGGCTTTGCTCTTTGGACCATTATCCTGCATTTGGATTATTGTTAGCAGACTGAAACAGGTTTTCCTCTATTTGTCCATACTTTGTTCCATCCAGTTTTCATTCAGTGCTAACAAATTTTCCAGTGCCTGCTTAGGAGAAGCAGTCCCCTAGCAAGATACGGCCTCCATCATGCTTGATTGCAGGGATAGTGCTGACTGGGTAATGCACTGTGCCTGATATGTGAGATGTTTTGTGTGAGATGTAACACTTTGTAATTCTGTCTTATCTGACCACAAAAGCTTTTGCCACATGTTTAAAGTATCTCATTTAAACGTTTACATGAAAACCACTTGTGGGATCTGAGACAGATTTGCACTCTGCCATACAGTTTAGCTTTCTGAAATCAGTGGGATATGGTTAACTGACGCTCATTTTCTCTCATCTCAAGCATTAGATCTTTCAAAGTTTCTGTTCCCCTTACAGTGGCATCCCTTACCAGTGTCCTCTTTGTCTGGTTACTCAGTTGGAAGAATGACCTGGTCTAGGCTGTGTCTGGATGGCACAAGGCACCTTCCATTTCTTGATGATGGACTGTGCTCACGGGGATTTTCAGAGACTTTAGTATTTCTGTACACTTCTCCTGATCTACGCTTTCTAATGACTAAATCCCTGACTTCCTTTAAAAGCTCCTTTACGGTTCAGTCTTTATGTTAAATTCAATACCTGACCAACGACCCTCACAGAAACAGGTATTTTTATGCTGAAATTATGAGACCCACTATCCACTCAACTAACTGGATTGCTCGTCAAGGTAATTTTGTGCACATACATTAACTGAGCTATGCCGCCACGAAGGGTTTGAATACTTATGCTATCACGACTTTTCCACTTTTCTCTCATAACAATTATCTAGTTCTTGTTGTTTTATGCTTTGAATCTATGGAGTACGTTTAGGCTACTATAATGTGTCATGACCACAAGATTTAAAGCAACAAAATGTGAGAATTGTTCTAGTGTCTTAATACCTTGGCAAGGCACTGCATTCGGGGGTCCTAAAGAATGCTGTCTTGGAATCTATTCAATAAAAAAATAGCCTCCAAAGCTGCACATTATTTTAAATAACATTAAAATTCTTTTAGGTTTACCTGAGCAAGTTCCTTCTGTTCATTTACCAGCTTCTTACAGCTTGCAATCATCTGGTCTAGAGCGTATAATCTGTCTTCAAGGCCTTTAATGGCCTTCATATTTTGATTATCCAATTTGGAAATAGTGTCTCGACATTCTGCCAAAAAGGGTTGAATGATTCTTGGATCAAGCTGAAAAACAAAGAAAACATGCCATAAAAAAGTTTCAGCATTTCATCACATTTTACAATTTAAATGTAAATAAAAAGAAAATCCTTTTAATAACAGTAACACTGCTCTACTAAGTACACCCTTACATCTGTTTTCCCAAGATGCATATAATTATTTTCTTTATTTAATATCTGCCAAAAATGTAGCTGTTGACATATGATTGAGAGATTAGAAAGTCTGTTGTTAGGCATTGATTCATCTGATTGATTCATCTGCACAAGATACATCTTGTTTTCCACAAGGAACAAGTTAATCTACAACAATACTACATTTGTTGTAATAAATAGCCTGCAAGTTATTTAGGCAATCTACTAAAGAAAATGTTTCATTATTTCCTTTCAAGACCTCAGATTTGCAAAACAAACACAAAAGTACCTAATGAATGGTCTTCAGCAGTAGACACAATGTTCTGTATATGCTCTGTATATAAGTCAATAGACACAGTGTAGTGTATAAGCTCAAAACACCAACATAAAAGGGACCATAGTAAATAAGAGAAGCAAATGTATCTCTCTCCAAAAGTTGATCATGAAAAAAATAAACTTACAGGGCCTCCCTTAGAGTAATTTTTATATGTTTTGCTATAGCCGCATTGAATAGTTGTTTTACCCAGACCTGCCTATTAAGCTTCCAGTTTAAAAACACCTCTGGGTTCATCACAGACACACTGGATGTCAGCTATTCTTAAGTTATATATACATTTCTTCATAGGTTTTGTTTCTTGTGTTTTCCACAAGAATACAAATACAACACATACAGATAAAAATTAAAAGGCTGTGAGAAAGAGAAAACACGTGGTTTCAGTTTACCTTCCAAAAGGAAATGGAGAGGGTTCTCTCTGTCAGTATCTTTAAGTTTTTCAACGATAAGGTTGCTAAGGTAGAGAAACATTTCAGAACTACTGCTACTATAAAACAGTGATGAAGTGAGGTGGCGTACAGTGTCATCAGATAAAGACAATTAGTGCAGATGAAGCAGTAAGATTAGTAATCCATTAGTGATGTTGTTCAAAGAGCTCTACAAGTAAAACTGCATCAAAGTACCTTTAAAACCAAGAACAGGAGACACATCTTTACCCGTATCCTAAGAGTATGGAACAAGCTACCCAACCATGCTGTTGATAATACTTTGGCTTATCGCAAGAAATGGCTGGATTAGATCTTTATGAGACTGAGAAATGACAAGTAGACAAAGTATGACATGACCAAGATAACTACCTTCCATTTTACAAATACTACTCAGCTACGTCCTGTTCTGTCAATGTTTGCTCTGGATTATACTCGTTATTTCTCCTCTATACCACATTACTATAAGGCCCTTCTTTTGAAAGTATCAAAAATGTTTTACAAAATCCCTGCAGATCAAAACACAGTACAGACAGAAACCTAAGTAGGACTTGTTCTGGAAAATGTGTAATATTAGTCATGGCTTCTTTGCACTGGCTTCCTGTCAAATTCAGGATGTCCAATATATCAGCTCTCTTGTACTCTAATACCGGGATCTCGCATGTACCACAAATACTGTGGGTATAGGAACTTCTGGGTTTTTTTTTTTCAAATTCAAGAACATTCTCCCATTTAGGATCAGGATTCCTGAGTTACTGACTGGTTTTAAGAGACACCATTAAAACTTTTTCAGGCATTTTTCTAGTTGGATTGCTCTTGTACTTTGTGTAAGTTAAGTTTTAATTTTAAAATATCGCTTGAAAATGTATTACACTACTTTATGCTGCATTATTTGAACAGTACTTTGCTATTTTATTGCTTGTGAATGTACAGTACGGTTCTGTTTTTTGTGATTGGCTTTCTCAATTTAAACCTTGAGAGTATACTGCGATGATTTAATTGATCATTTGTGATGTTTGTCCAATCAACCATTTGATTGAATGCTTTCACTGAAAATGGATACATTTTAAAGTACAGTCAATAATTATGCATCCGAACTGGACAAAATCTATCTCAATATTCCAAAACTTAGACTTCATGCACAGGACACCCTGAGTATCTCATGGAGAAAAGCCAATTAATTACAAAGTTGTAATTAACTGAAAAAGTCTAAAATAGATGAGTGTAATAGTTCAACCTAAAATAAGAAAAAACAGCCATACAAGGTCACAAATAAAGGATCTTGCAAATTGTGACAGGAAACTCACATTAACCCAAAACCATGTACAAGTCAATCAATAGTTCTGTCAGAAAAGCAAAGATTTTCTTTTTCAGGATAATCCATCACATGATTTACACATTCTGTACACATGATTTACTTCCAGCAATGTGGATTTTTTTATTTGATGGCAGTGGAGTCTGACTGAAAGAGGATTATAATCCTCTATATTTACAGTTGTGAGAAAACGTCTGGCGAACCCTTAGGATTTATATGTTTATGCATTATATGTATATTTAAAATACTTTTATTTTGGGGCTCGGTACCTTGAGTACAAGTGTCTAAACAGAGTTTTGAGCAACAGAGCAATTATAATAAAATACAATAAAGAAGACTTGCCAGTAGTATTAAAACTGATGACTCATAAGTCCTTCTGTTGTTTAAAATCTAGTGTGCACCCCTCCAACTTGTAGATTTTATACAGAGAAGTTCAAGCAATGCCAGCTAGTATTATAAAATGGTATAAAGTACAAAAACTTAAATATCACTTAACATGAATAAAATCTTCATTAACTTTAAGTCTAAGTGTATACATTTGAATTAAATCAACCTTTTTTTTACCATAATCCTTCCATACTTTGTGATGTCATATTCATATAAAATAAAATTAAAAAAAAATAAAAATATGAACCTTTTTTAAATAACATGGAAAATAACATGATATATCTCAATGTTCACACTTCTTTTGAAATTCCATATCCTTCATATACTATATTTTAGAGCCCAGTCCTACATTATTAATCAAAATGATCTAGTTTTTGCAACTGAACGTTTGCCTTCAGAAAGAAAAACATGCTGAAAGTATTTTTATCCGCATTATACTGTCCTGGATTTTCATGTCTAATTCCTTTAGTCAGTCATTATCTACCCTTATACAGTTGAGAATTCAAGAGTGATATGTAGCAACTGTTAATGTTCAACAATGACTAAAACTATAAATCTAGAGATGAATAAACTATTAACAATACCTAGAAATTAACATATTTTAACAACATCCAGGCGGATGCTGCACATTGGTAGTGGCGAGTCCCCATTACCTGTAAAGCGCTTTGAGTGGAGTGTCCAGAAAAACGCTTTATAAGTGTAAGCAATTATTATTATTATTATTTTATATCTCAGATTTCTCACTTTTAAATTTCATGTTACTATTACTTTAAAGAAAAACAGGCATATGGCATAAATTTAAACCTGCAACATACAACTTGTTGTTTAACTTATACATTTCTGACTACAAAGAAGATATTCTGTTTCATTTAGATCTTTAAAATAATATAAAAAGCAGTGTTTTTCAGTGAGTGTGCAATGTTAGCCAAAACTAATTGTTTTCCCCCAATGGGGAAGGGAGAACAATCAAGGGTCAGCAGTGTGGACATAACAGAAAAAACACACACAGAACACACACTGGGACGTAACACTAATCATATTCTAATTTAAAATATTCTGCTTGCCTAAATCAACAGTAGCTATTCCAAGTTTGGTGATAAAGATTGTCTAAGAAAACATGTCTGAGATTTTGTTTTTTAAATATAAACTGAATTATTAATCAATATAGCTTTTAAAATTCCCTATAATAAAATACCCTGAAAAGTAAAATATGTAATACATCAACAGTTTAGCACAATAATGATTTCTGTTTCAAAATACAATGAATGCATGACCCCATCAATGAAGATTAAGCTATGTTAAAAACAAATAAGCATGCCAATGCATAAGTATGTAATTTAGGTATTGCTAATTATAGGATTTCAAAATTACCTCTTTTTCTATTTTTGTTACATGTATTTAAAATATTTTCAAACCAGGTTCTTGAAATATAAATGTGCAGCCTAGGTAATTGTACCTCAAAGAATATTTCTTTCTCAACATACTTTTACATAAACACGTAAAATATTCAATTAAGTCATAACGGAACATTTAAAATGTCTCTTCCAATATTTTTTCATGATAACGAGCAATGTTATATTCTCATATTTATTTTTTAATTATCATTGTTAACATTCTAATAAAATATGGGATTATTCACATCTATAGAAGCTCAAATGATGCTGAGAATTTTAATATTGGCTCTGAAAACAAAATATATCAAAATCTAAGTGACTATATGAAAATGGAAAGAAGAGATATTTACATTTTGACTTTTCTAATCATCCCTTTAAAACTAATATGATTTAATAATCATTTACTAACACTCTTCCAGTTACTAAAAAATCTAAATATTGGTTTATTTCAATGAATACCATAATTTTATAACCCAAAGCTACCCAAGTACATCAAAACTGAAATATCTGTATATAGATTTTTTTGGGAAAATGTAGTAAAAGTATTTTCAGAATTCTAAACATCTGCAGTGAAACCCTAACATACTTTCGATTTGTGAATCTAAGGTTATTTTATTAATGCAGTGCTACGTTTTCAGTGCTTGTAGGAGAACAGGCTTAAAACAAATATCCACTTACTCTGTTGATGGAGTCAAAGCACTTTCTCACAACAGATTCAACATCATTTGGTCTGTCTTGTACATTTATCCAGTCTAACAAGGAAACATTGAACAAAGGCTGATCACTTTTCTCCTGGCAGTCCGCATCTTGCAGTTCAGCCCTTGGACTGCTGCTCTTCGTTGTTTCATGGTCTTCTTGTGCTATGCTGTCCTGAGGTGAATTTTCTACCGATATGGAAAATGATGCTGATGATTTATTACTAGTTCTGGGTTGTCCAGGGCATAGCACCGAATCTGAAGATTTCTCCTCCTCGGTTTCTTCTTCTGTTCCTTCCTTCTCTGCAGGTGAGCTTGATCTTTCCAAACTCTCTCTGTAGCTGTGGCGGGTCAAGCACTCCAACAGTGGAATCTTTGCCATAACGGATACAGCTGTACCTAGGCTTTAAAATTGGACAAAACAGCATTCATTTAACTTCCAAAATAACAGCATAACATTCCTCAAGCAAGGTTCTGAATCTGCCGCACTATGTGTGAAATCTTCTCACAGTCCCTTGTCAGCTTATCACCAGATAAGGTGATAAGCTGACAGATAGTTAATAGAATTATACAGCACAGTCTATATTTTCTTATTACAATAATTCCTTTGAACTAGATGCATGAAAAAACGACGGTCTACAGATACAAGCCTCTGGTTTTGTTAAAACCCAAGCATGTAAGAATGCCCTCATCTTTGAGGCACATTATCAATTATCAGAAAATAAGGTAAATTTCCCTCGGTCAATGCAAAACAATGTGATATTGGTTTAAACTTTCACTCATTTCTCAAAACCTACAAAAAAAATTAATACAAAATGAGGCTTTGACATTCATTAGTTAAGATGTGCATCTGCTTCTCATCTCGCCTCCTCTTCTCACATCAAATAATTAAACCTAAGACGTAAAAGAGCATTTATGTGCACACAGAGAGCTGAAAATCCAGGTGGGGCTGCACATCGGTGGTGGTGGAGGGGATCCCCATTACCTGTAAAGCGCTTTGAGTGGAGTGTCCAGAAAAGCGCTATGTAAGTGTAAGAAATGATGATGATGATTATTATTATTATGATTATTATTATTATTATTATTAAAAGATTATGGTAAAACACCAAGTGGCCAAAAATGCAGGAATGACAGGTCCAACTGTGTTTGAGTACACACAGGTGTACTGAATTTAATGTTTAAGGTCTCTGTATGCTGCCACTGCACTGTGCATTATAGCTTGCAAAATCTACCACAATCTACCATACTTCCATTGTGTAGTAATTATTAAATACTGCCATTCTAAATTCGCATTAGACTGTAGACAAAAGTTGAAGTCAGTTCAGTCCCCGATAAAAGCACAATGGCATAATAGGTGATTGTCAAACACCTTATCGACCAGGCTCTTTTTCTACTTTCAAATGAAAAACAACTCTATGGGAATTGACAGAGCAGCCACAGTCACAAAGACACCAATATAAGCTAACCCATCCATTACTCTAAATATAGCAGGTCCAGACTGAGATCTCCAACAAATACAAAAGATCCAGACATACCTACCTTAGGGTACATAATACACATATACCAAATAAAACAACAAAACAATTAAGTAAAACTATCAAACAGCAACCATGACCATTTTATATAAATAATATGCATAGTCAAATGCACTGAAAGTAATAATTATGTACATTTAATGTTCAAAAGCACAAAATAAACAATATACATAAAATAAACATTTTTTTAAGTTTATATAAAAGCACCCCTCAGACTTGGAAAACAGATTATTTTATGACCAAATATTTATTCAAAATATCTTCTCCCAATTGAATCTGGAGAGACACTGTTAGCTAAAAGAAGAAGAATATCTATTTAATGTCTGTAAAGACCAATCACACATTTGATTAATCTTTACGTGCTTTTGTGCAGGATTTTGAGCCAGTAAAAAGGTTTTGGTAACTTTGGCTATCATCCACTGTTTCAATAAAACGTAATGGAAAACAAACCTACATTTCGGTATGTTAGAACCAAAAGCCAATGAAGAACCTCCCTGTACTTAAATATGTGTCTTGGGCATGCATGGGAATTGATTCACAAAATAAAGAACCAAGCTGGAGCAGCTGGTATCTCTCCAAGTTCTGCATCTGCCTCAGGTCTTCAGTCCAAGTCACGAGTCTAAGGAACAGACCTGGACACATGCCTTTTTTAAGAGCATGAGAAAAGTATCCAAGTCAAGAAACCGCTCCACTGTAGTTCAAGACTTTTTTAAAAAATGTTATATTAACAATAGTACTTGTAAAGTATATATACGGGGTTATTGGCTGACATATAAAGTGATTTTTAGTAGATCTGCATGACTCTTGAATTTTATGTTTATCTGCATCTCTTTTTTTATGACTGTGTGAAAATGGCCTTGGAAGTCCTTGTTAAACTAGACATGCCAGCAGTTATTATTTTGAAGAACAACCATGAAAAAGGTCTTTTTCCTTGTATTTGAACTCCTGGAAGAGGAAACTGAAATGCAGTAGAATAAAAGTATGCATACGATTTTAGAGATAAGGTGACCTCTAGTGTTCAACCTTAAATGCAAAAATCTTTGAATGAAAAATTGTGTATCTTACCATCATGTACAAGCCACAAGCTTGTTACTACATGTACAAGATACCATGTTTACTACAGTTGGAATGCTTGAACTTTAAAGGGGTACTGTTAATTATTGTATTATTAAGAAGATAGTACTGAGGTTAAGATACTGACTTTTAGCATGTGAAACAAGGTCTTCTCTTTCTAATTCTATTTCTTGATATAAATTTCAGACAAGATTTTTGTATGCTTATAGGTTTACAAAATTGTACTTTCCAAATGCTGTACTTGAGAAAAGTATGGTGATTACATAGTTGTCAAGAAAACAATTGCAAACACTATGGTCCTCCCGTTTTCACACTGCTTCTCACGTTTTCACTTGCCTCTCTTCAGAACTGCGTAAAGTTAGCTGAGCACTAGAGGCATTTGTTTTGAAGCTCAACACCAATTCACTAACTGTGTATTAACATGAGAATGTGTATGGGACACAATACTTACTTGTTAAGTTTTTGTTTGATATCTTCAATACTCTGTTGGTAACTTATATAGGCAGTTTCAAATTTAAACAGCAGCTTCTGATGAGACAGAGTACAGTCATCTAAATTGGCCATTATAGCAGCCCAGCCTTGGTGCTGGAGATGTTCGTCGTGAACTTGTTGTTCACAGTAAGAACAAATCTTCTTGGCAATTTCAAACATTTCCTGAAAAACAAGTTAAACAACAGTCACTGTAAAATATAACTGATATTTCCCTGAATTAATTTATTGCTAGTCTGGTTTTGCAAAGATGTAAATGTTTGCACAGAGTCAGGACCTTGGTTTTATGCCTCAGCCGAAGGATGGCACCTTTTTAAAGTATAGTGTATTATATAGTGTACAGTATATTGGTCACTAAAAGTACGGTATGCTCATTCCACAAAACAAAACATAAACAAAAAGGGTGTCAACAATTCAGTTTTGTCAAAGAAACATTAAGATGTACATTTTATGTCCTATTTGAGACCTAAGATTGACAAGCCAGGCAGTGCTAGCCAGATATATGACCTGAAACCAATTTACATTTAATCCTCAACCAGACTAATTCCCACATTACTCTTATTCAAAATGCAAAAGGCACTATTTGTTTTGCACTTTTTAGTCATTAACAAATGTTCCTCAATTTTTATAATCCTTGACCACAGATTGGAAGTCAAGGCTACAAAAAGGATTCAAAGACTAAGAGGGTTCAATATCCCTGTGCCAAATCATTCAAAATATTGCCAGAAATGTGTTTTATTACAAACATTTTTACCAGGACACAATGCAGTTATGCCATTTTTAATTACAGTAATTACAGACTTTAACAGACAAATTTGGTAAAGGGGTTTTGTCTGCAAAAGGGATGACCATAATGTTAAACTATTATCCCAACTGCACAATGCTGACTAGACTGGTCTCTTCTGGAATTCACTCCCGTAAAATACCCAAGCATATGATCATGAGACATCTACACCAGAATATAAAATCAGCAAGGAAAGGATCTTAGCTTTACTGAACTTGACTTTACTGAACTGTGTGCAAATGCTAACAGCAAGCCACAAGGATATAATCAACAAGCTTCCAGTAGTCCACTACCATTCCAAAAAAGCTTGGTTTACGTCTGATATAACTTTCATTGCTTATAAAAGTTTTTTTGAGCTTCACATATAGCATGGCAATTTGATGCACAGCTGGCAATATCAGACACCCCCTAACCCCAATTAGTCCACTAAAGTAAGGCTTTACTGTACTGTAATGCCATACAATACAGTACACAACATATTTATTTAGATAAACAGTAGAGTGAGTTTTGTATTACATATCCAGAAAGTATATAATATACTTTGTTTTCTTATAGTGCCTTTGGGCTGAAAAAACTTCTATGAAGATGTACTTAGTTTTCACTAATTCAAAACATTTCAAAAGAAAAAAAAATACATTGAATAAATTACCACAGCAAGTTGTGTTCGCGAGGCAACGGTGTGAAAAACAGCTGGCATCAAGAGTGATTCTTCAACCTTTGCATCCATGTCATTTTCCACTGAAAATGTGGTTTTAGGTATTGTTGGAGGGCGATCACAGAAAATCATTTCCTTACTGAACAGAAAAATGGGATTTGTATCCTGCAATAAAAAAATAAACAACAAAATGAATTCATGTTTCAAAACACACCCTTGTGTAATAGCAAAATTAATACATCTATAAAGTACACAGGCAAGCAGACTAATATAGTTAGAAGAATTAGCTACCTGTACACTGATCTTGTCAGATCTCAGAAACTTAGCAAGGCTGAGCGGAGCAGGATTGGAAGAACTCTGTGGAACTCAATGGGTTCCAGACTTAATGCAGTTATTGCCTCAGAGATATGATACCAGATACTGACTTTTGCACACTTGAATGTACCTCAGTATCAACTTGAAATACCTGGGCTGAACAAAAATATTATGGTTCTAATACCATAATACAGAATCAGTGCAGAGAATTACCCAAAAATATAAAATACAGTTCCTTATTATTCTTAAAAATAGCATGATCACAAATACACATTGCTGATAATAAACCAAAAATAACCTTGCTATGCCAGTAAGTTTGAAGGGTACAGTATTTCAGTAGGGGTATGAATAAATCTGAAAGGAACTGTAAATGAAATTTAGCTGTGATAAGATAAGGAAAGCAAAGAGGGCACATCCTCCTTTTTAAATCATTTATCATGTTTGCGGAGTCCATTTCCCCCATTTCAACTGTCAAATGTTTTAATAATTATAAAAGATTAAATCGCTTTTTACAGTCGTTTTTTGTTGGAAAATAGTTTTTTTTTTATTATTTGCTATATCTAGGTAGACTGTTTCCATATCATTCAAAGACTGTAATATTACTCTCATGTTGAGAAAAGTGTATTAATTTAATGAGCAGAATAAATGTAAGGAAAGATCAAAGTTGTGAAAAAAGTGGTCATTCAGAGCACTGAAATTTTAATGACAATGTGTATTTAACATACTACTTTGCAAATAACGATTTTCACTTTTAACTTGTCAGCTCAAACTGTAGTTCATTTTTCACAACTGCAGTACTAGAACTTAATTAGTGTGTCAATGAGAATAGATATAAAACCATACTGAAATCTTCAGTAATGATGTTTGTGTACAGTGATGGAAACATAATAATGTGTTTGTTTACAGTGGTTTGATAGACAACTGAATGGGTTACCTTCACATGCACTTCCAAATATGAAATGTAAATCAGCTTAAGATGGAAATTCAATTGAAAACAATGGTGATACTGCACCATACTGTGCAATACTTACTGTGCCAGCACTATAACTGCAGACACGTCTATCTGCAACCATACACTCCCCGCCATTGACAACAAGAACTTGGTTCTGAGGTGCAATCCTATATCTGGACTGGATAGCATTCTTAAGGTCTGCAACACTTAAAAACAGAAAACAAAGATTTACAACGCTTACATTACAGAACAATATCCTACTGACATACTTGAAAATTATTTATCTATGGCACCTTGTCTTATCACATAGTTAAGTTAAAGTTCATGTTTATTGTCATTATACTCGTACACAGGTATATGGTATAACGAATTGCTATTTAGCTAGCTCTCAGACGGTAAGCAGGACAAAATAAACAACAACAACAGGTAATGTGCAATACAACAACAGATAATATGCAAACAACAGGAAACGGGTAATGTGCAAAACAACATCAGCTGTGCAAAACCATACATCAACAGAATGAAATAAAGGATAGAAAACTATGGGGAGTGAACTTCTCGACATGGGAGGTGGAGGTAGTTTCAATGTGTGTTTGAGTTTTGATAAAGAGAGAAGGCACTGTAAGGGTTCAAGATCATAGGTGAGGGAGGCTGGAAGTTTAATAGTTTGATAGTGTGGGGGTAAAAATGGTAAAACCCGGGGAGTCTGGGAGTCCAGGCCAGAATGCTCCGGCACCATTTTCCAGATGGTGGAGGGTTAAACAGTCTGTAGCTGGTGTGTGGGGTCTTTGATGATGCTTGGAGCTTTTCTCAAGCACCGTCTGTCATACATCTCCTGGATGGATGGGAGAGCAACCCCAGTGATGGACTGGGCAGTTTTCACCACCCGCTGTAGGGCTTTGCGGTCAGCAATATTGCAGTTGCCATACCACACTGTGATAAAACCTGTCAGTATGCTTTCTGTAGTGCATCTGTAAAAGTTAGTGAGGATCTGGGGACATATTTAGCCTTCTTCATCTGTCTTATTAATGACAGCGCAGTCACTTCACTACTTTAAAAAAAAAAAGAATTGCTCTTACGTTTGGACAGCAAGTTCAGTGTTAAATGTCAGTGTATTGCCATTGTTGACCAGAAACACATATAACTTCATGTTGATATCTCCAGCTTTCTTCACGTGTCCCTTTCTTTTTCATTGAGTCATTCAGCACCTACTCCCATGAAGAAAATAAGAAAATATTTTAATGAGCAAAAACAGTATATTTGGAAATCTGGAAAAAAAATTGATCAACATTATTTGTGTAGCAAACGCACTTATACTGAGGATATAATAATATTAAAATGAAAAACATTTAAACACCAAATATTTATGTAAGACATGCAGGAGATCTCCAAAATACTTTAAATGACGTGAGGGGAAAAGAACTGGAGTAAACATTCATACTGAAACAGTCTGAAGATCGATTTGGACCAATATCTTATGTTTTTAGCGATTATTTCCCTTCTCAAAACTGCTTAGAAATGCCCAAAATCATCACAAAGCATTCTCACATTTGCAACCAGGTTTTAAACTGAGTTTGCAATTTTAGACTTCATGAACTTTATGATTCAACCTTTTAAATGTAACAAGAATACAAAGGGGATGATGATCTCTTTCTGAATGCACAATTGCAGGTAACTTTTTTCTTTGTTACTTTTTTGAGTAGTCCTACTCACTGTTTAACTATAACATTTTTATAAGGACTTGAAATATTTGATTAAATCCACTAATTAACTCAGTGCTGTGTTTCTTCAACATATCAGTAGAAAAGTAAATTAAACACTCTCAAACTATTTATCACATCTTCCTAATTTCTTTTCCATTTATTTTACATAGCATTTGTTAGATTGTTTCAAAAATTCAAAACAATATATTTAGACTGTATACTTACTCTTAAGCACAGGACACAGTTTCCTGATATCTACAGCCAAGTTTTTCAGGAGAGGAGAACATATGTTCGATTGCTCTTTTGCTGTTGCACCATCAAAATTAACCTTATAATTGCTTGGTAGACCTGTTAATGAAAACAAAAACATTAAATGAAAAAGAAAACCAACCCACAATTAATATGCAATAATGTTAAAAGGCTTCTGGAACTAACATCACGTAGTTGAAAACATTTCTCAATATATTCTAAAAAATGTTAACTAAGTCAATAAGATAAATAGACTGTAGAAGGAAGAACACTCATTCTTCACATTGTTGCCTTTTACACACCCCTCTTCAACCCACCAGAAATCAGGAATATACTTTGTGAGTACTGATACATGTGCCAGTTTGAATTACTTACATCATACATCCCAGAACATCATAGCAGTATATAATATACTAATATCAGTGCTACCCTTACAAAAGAGAAATACTGCAAAAGGACATAAAATCTCATACAGGCTACTATTTCAAGTACAAGTTATTTCCACATAAAATGGTATCCAAAATGGTATTCAAGTATATTCCTGCATAAATTCATAAATTACTGCTAACTACTCATGTAATCACAGTATCTATAGTTTCAAAGCTACAGAACGTGAGTCACTGAGCCAATTATCAAACCCTGTACTTTTTGTTACCTTTTTTGTGTTCGTATAATTAACCACTAACTACCAAACAGGCTGGAAAGGCTCCGTTACGTTTATCCATCACACAGACATCAACAATGTAAGGATGTGCAGGACTGTAATTAAAAGAAGATGTGCCTTCAAAACAAAATTGCTAGTACTTAGAAAAAGTCAGAGAACTGTCCATGTTCACAGTAAGACCCTGAACATGGCTCAACATTCACTCATCTGCTCTTCTACACAAATAATCCACTGAGAGCAAGACACAGGATCAGCAGAGAAAGATAAAGCACACTTCACAACACTAAGTAAAGAAAATTCTCAAAAGCTGTTAATAACAGACAAGCATGATCATTCATAATTTTTATTTCTATTCTAATCTATAGTCTAATTATTTGTTCTTATTAAATGTAATGTATATTTTGAACCAAAATCACAAATTAGGTATAGCAAAGTAATAACGATAATGAATCAAAATATCACACATTAAAAGACAAGAAACTATGGCAAACCAAACTGTACTGGGTTTCGCCCCAAAACTTCATGCATACTCAACAGACAGGCCTAATATGCTGGATCTTTCATGGTTAATTTGAATCACTATATAGTATAAGACTAGTGATTTGTGGACTGACTAATTAGAAGTGTTATCACTTTATATGTTTTGGAGAACACTTATCCACTGATGAGGGTTCAACTGGGAACATGTGCATTGCAAGGTATACAGTATGTAGTATAAACAATTTTGTCATTTTAACACTGAAAAACATCAGCCTTTTGGCACCTTGGTTTATAATAAAATGTGAGTTTTGCATATTGTTGTGTACTGTAGCACAAAAAGTTGAAGTCCATTTGCCTTTGGACAGAGCATACAGTTTACAAATCAATCAATCATCTCATTTAATTCAAAAGTCTATGTTTTTTTTTCACATTGAGAATCTGATTTGGATTAATTATAAATATACAAATGTACAAATTAACTAGAAAGTTATTGCAAATTTCCATACCGCATAATCCCTATAAACCAAATGGCTTTGATCTCCAGCTAAAACACTACATGCACAAGTGACAGGCTGCAGATACAAATTTCCTTCCCTAGTGAAAAATGGATATGTATAGTATTGAAAGAGCAATTTGGTGAATTATTGTTATAACATTATAGCGTAAATGCTTGCAATTCCTTTTTCCCAAGCACTTCATGTACTGGGGGGACCTACTTCCGCCATGCACTGACCTGCAACAAACACAGCTAATAAGGTAGATAAGTGACAAATAATTTGACCAATTTAACTAAGGAGTAAATTTAGGGAGTACAGGTTTTGCAAGTCCACTACTATGTTACTAACAATTCTAGGGGACCTTTAATGATCATGTAGTCAAAACCTTGATTTTTGATGATGTCTCAGCTGAATAACAGTACCTTCTACATCACAGCATCCCCTGTCAAAATACTTGGTAATTGTTTGGAAAATTGTGGCCCACCAGAGCCACCTATTGTAGTGATAACAAGGGTTATCCTTGCTTAGCTTCGGGTATCTGACAAGATCTAGCAATATTTTGTGCATTCATGCTGAATG